ATACCGGCCATGACATCAGGCGCCGCGCGGACCTCCTCCGCAATCAACTGGAAAGCTCTCCCACGAGCCTTCGTTGCCTCGGTCTTCACTGGCCGAACCTCAGGAACCCTGGCAGCAGGCGAAGATCCCTGACGAAGCTGGGGGCACTCGACCTTCCGATGGCCAGTCTGGTTGCAATGGAAGCAAACCATGAATCCCTTGGGGCAATCCCTCGCAATGTGCCCCTCCTTGCCACACTTGTAGCAAGCACCCGATCGACATGCCCCCTCGTGACCCTTGCCGCACTTCCCACAAGTGCGGCTCTTCTGACCTCCGGATCTCAAATCAGCGGACTTGGTCCGCTTGGCTGCCGGCTGAGACTGAGCCGGCCGCCGATCCACCCGTTGAGACTCGGCCTCCTCCCTGGCCTGGGTCTTCAACTCGATCTCACGCTTCCTGGCATTCGCCTGAAGCTCCGCAAAAGTCTGATATGACGAGTTCGATACGAACTCCCGGATATCTCTCCTCAGCACTCCCAAATACCGACTCATCCGAGCCTGCTCCGTGGACACCTGCTCGGGGCAGAACTTCAAGCTTGATCCTCTCCCTCCTTTCCTTGCAATGTCCCACAAAATAATGAACAAAAGCCTCCAAACACTCTCACAAGGGCTCACAGACGTATGGGGGCTCTTAGGGTTCAAGGTGGCCGCATATGAGGGCCATAAGGTCCTTTAAATAGGGCTTAGGGCCGGGAAATTAGGGTTTCATTAAACAGCACGGACTCGCCGAGTCCGGACGCGAATCCCCGCCCAAAACCGCGACCCGACTCGGCGAGTTCGACCTCCAACTCGCCGAGTCCCCTCACATAATGTCAAAAATATATGAAATGAAGATCCTGGGGATCCGGGCTGTTACATTTCTCAAGGTCAAACACTCGTGCACGTAATGACGTATGATTTGTTTTGAAACTCTGTAGTATTTTCATTTTATGGTTTAATGTAGTAGCATGAAACTATTTTGTGTAATATTTTGGATAATATGGATTTGGAACGAAATTTGTGGTCTAATATTATTATCATTATTTAAAAAAAATTTGTTTTGTTTTAATTAGAAAAATATGTAGTAGCATGATAATTTTTTTTTCAAGGTTTTCAAGATCGGGATCCTACCTAGGATCGTTTTTGGGTTTGCAAAATCGTAATCGTAAGATCGGGATCGAGATCCTAAGATCCCACAAAATAGAATATAATTCTAATTTATAATATTAATCATAAAAAATATTTCAAACATTTAATTTTTCGTTCAAAAGTTATAAAAACTTTAAAATATTAGTCATAAGTCACAATAAAAATGATAAATGGTAGATTGGTAAAGAGTAAAAGACATAAAATGGTAAAAAAAAATTCATTTGAATTTTTTTTTTTAAGGAAGGTAGGATCGGATCGGATCTCGATCCTACGATCCTACCTACGATTTTACGATCCTACCTGCGATCCTACCCAAAATACGATCCTTTTACGATCCAGATTGTTTTTCATACATAGGATCGTAGGATCGTACTTATGTCTGTTTTGCATCGGGGAATACCGACGTTATACGGGCCTGCTGCTAAAAAGGTTTCTATTAATTTATCATTCAAATTTATTGGATAAAATAAAATACTTTAAATAAATAAATGAAAAAAGTACTAACTTAAATGTTTCTATTTAAAATTGGTTAATCTTAAAGAAAAAATTGTTGCTGCAGGGTTAGACTGATGTTAATTTGGCAAAGGTATTCGTCCAACTCAACCTATACAGCTTCACACAACAATTTTCAAGAAGGCAAAAACTTAAATAGGTTAATAGGTGAGAAAGAAACCAAAAAGCTCTGCCATATTGTATCTCTATTTGTTTAGAGGGTGGTTCGGTGATTATATTTTCGTGTTCTTAAAATTTGGTTGCTCCTTATCCTGTTGATGGATTTTTTGCCCACATGGACGGTTTTGCCCCTGCCACTATTTGGCTCTTGATGTGGTTTGTGTGTCCCTCCAATGTTTTACTCCTGATGTGGAAGGGTTTATATGATTTTGATCATTATTTTGGGATGATCTATATCCTATGCTATTAGATTTTTTTCCCATTATGGACAGTTTTGCCCCTTGCTCCAATTTTGCTCCTGTTGTGGTTTTCTTCCTATTGTCGGCATTGCTCATTGTTTTCTGATTGCTTGTTGTTTTCACGGTGCTTACGGAGAAAGTCATGTAAATGTTTTTTGTTCTCTTTTGGCTTATTGTTTGTTGTTTTTAACTATGTTTTGTAGCTTTTAGTTTTCCTTTTCCTTTATTATAAGCTGCTTTGTTTGTTTCTAGCTTCCAACTATTGTTTATATAATATCTGTTATGTAATATTTTGTTTCTCTTAAGTGCATCAGCCCTTTTATATTTGTTGTTTGTATTTTTTTTTATGATTTTTCCAGATGAGACTCTCTTTTAGTCCAACCATCAATTTGTTACACCAAATTACTGTTTTGCCCTTGCATCAATTTATATTATATTAATTGTTTGTGGTTTAAAAAAATAAATTCGGCTTAATAATTGTGCATAAAAAATGTTTGTGTATTAAAATAAAAGTAATTTAATTAAATTAGAAAAAGAAAAAAAAATAGTGTGCTAGGAGTGTTACCACTCCTTACCAAATGCTAAGATTAGTTGTTAAATGGAGAAAAATAAGGGTTCAAGGATCGATGACTTTGGTTTAGAGTTTGGACTACCGAGAGCAGGCAGTAGGGGGCTAGTAGTTAAATATATATATATATATATATATATATATATATATATATATATATATATATATATATATATATACAATTATATTTTTATACATATCATCTCATAAGAATGAATTAAACACAGTAGTTAACTAGGGACCAATAATGTTTTTTTATTTTAAACACATACTTTTTATGCATTTTTTTAATACATGGACCATTTCTGTTTATTATTGTAAACAAGGACCATTTATATAAATTTACTTCAACAGGGACCATTTCTTTAAAATATCAACGTAAGTGTGTGTATCTGACTGTTTGTGTGTGTACCAATTTACGTTAAAAAAGGATCATTTATATAATTTATGTTTGAATGAGTACCATTTTTGTCATTGTATACTTGTGTATTTGAATTTTTTGTTTTTGTGAAAAATAAAAGAATATTCATGTTTATAGCAATGTACTTTTAAAATATGGACCATTTATGTAATTTCTTCTTCACACAGGGACCATTTATGTAAGTACTGTTTGTGTGGCTGTTTTAGTGAAAAAAAAATTATTCCCAACTAGAGCAATGTACATTTAAAGTAGATTGTTATAATTAGGTTAAATTTGTCAGTGCTTTTTAGTGCAAATGAAATATACTTATTCCCAACCGAAGGTTTATGAAAGAAAGTCCTCAGTAATTTTTTTTTTGGCTTGTGACTCAAACTCATTGGTGTTGAAGCAATTTGGTGGTTTTATATATTTGGTTTTGGTTTGGACCATTTTGTCCTTATGGATTATTCAGTCTGTTCCCTGCAGATTTTATGTACATAGTTGAAGCAATTGTCGATCTATAATTGTATTTACAATGTTAATTCATGGATACGGATGTACATAGTTAAATCAAATATATTTTGATTCCGGTGTCTATAGGATGTCTATTGGGATGTTAATTTAGCAGCATCCAAATTATAAAATCATAACTTGAAAGAGCGAAAATAAAACAAAGAAGAAGAATCAAATAATAGTTTGCAGGTTTTGATGCTTTTGTTGAAGCTATTGGTCAATAATTTAGTACTAGTAGACTCACGGCCAAAGGGATAATGACTTAAAAGAATAATATATTTTTTGATTTGTATACATTTGGTCACTGATTTTTTCCGTTCGCATTTACCCATTCAACTTATTAAATTGTACACATTCAGTCATTATGACCGGTTATTACAAAAAAAAAAAAAACTATTTTCATATTATATTGTCAACAGTGAGCCCGGGTTAGCCAAGAAAAATGACTTAATATGGTAATATATTTCTCATTTTTTACACATTTAGCCCTTAATATTTTTGTATACATTTAGTCCTTAATATTTTTTGTTTCAAAATAAATCAGTTTTGTTTTTGTACTCATTTAGTACTTATGAATGATTTCTCATGACATTTTATGTGGTACAATCATTGATGAGGGGTTTGGGACTGTTGATGCTTATGTTCATCGTGATCTCGACTGTTTTGTTGCATAGGTCTTGTGTTTTGAAAACCGTAACTTCTTCATATGATATCAGACTTTAATGATCTTTATATCCATGTGTTCATTTTTTAAGTCTACTATAACTTTTGTTAACATACTCCCGTTAAAATGTAATATATTTTTATTTACGATTTTATAAAAAAAACATCCATACATGTATTCATAAAAAATGTATGGATATAAATGTCGTAAGTAAAAATATATTACCTTTTAACCGGAGTAATCTTAACGAAAGTTGTAGTAGACCAAAATACTAACACATGAGTATAAAGATCGTTAAAATTCGATACCATATGAAGAAGTTATGACATTCAAAACGAAAGTTGTGGTCCCGTCCCAGTCGATGAAACATATATAATACCCAAATGTTTCTTTCTTTCATGCACACATACAGATACAGGTGTAAGACAATTTTTTTAATAATAACATATTAAAACACATTTCAGGCATGAGTTTGTTTACATCACTTTCTGCTATTCAATAACCTATTACAGATATCATCAACAAAAAACTTCATCAAAAAACGATGACCATCAGCAACCCAGTCAACACCACCACCAAATCTACACATCGACATCACAAACTAATACCAGCAACCCACACAAAATCTACTACTAATATTAACACTAAACAACATAAATACTACACCAAAACACAAACCCATGACTCAAATGCTTCAACCTACACAACTTTTTTTAGTTAAACACCATATATGTCACCACAAACACAGTAATAACACCAACAATCCCAACACTATACTTCAGCTTCTTAAGTTTGTTGTGCTGGAAGACATCTTCACATATGCTCCTTGTAGAGAAACGAAATGATTTTTAAGATCAGCAACGACATTTGAGATATCCAACTGACCAACACGAACGTCATCGACCTCATGGTTCATTGCATCCAAGTCTCGATTAATTGTCTGACGGAGCTCACAGAACTGGTCTTGGAAGTCCTCCCATATAAAAGACAGTTCCATCTGGGTTTGTAGTGGATTGATGGCCATGTCTTCATTGGTTACACCATTTGAATGATTATCATCCATGTGACGACGGTTGTTTAGAGACCGTTGCATGTCTGATCAAAGACATTTTTGAGTAAACTTAGATACGAGATTTGGGTAATGAAGTTTACAGATGTGCCGTTTTAGGTCAAGGAAGTCTTGATTTTATATGGAGGTGCTTGAACAGTCGATCCTTGCTCCTTACGATTCGCCTTCAATACGACGTCGTTGCGGTTGTTCGACACTTTAAATTCTTGCCATGTCATCGCTTACGTGTTAGGCTAGGTTTATGTGGCAACGTTAACCGGCTACAATAGGTACAAAGGGAATATATTGATAGCTAACAAATACTTCGTTCCCTTATTAAGCCACATAATAAGTTAAGTGGCTAAATGGGTTAACCCTAGAAACATTATAGGGCCTATACGTCATTTTCCATATATATATATATATATATATATATATATATATATATATATATATATATATATATATATACTTTAATAAATTAAAGTTTTTTTTGCCACATATCACATTCTTATTTAATTTTCCAAATGTCATTTTTCTTGTTATTTTGAATTAATTTCTTTTCCACATGTCATTTCATATGTTTTTCTATTTTAATAAATTTCATATAATACTTTAGTATAATAATTCCAATAAATGTAGTAATAAATGAATATCAATTTCATTAATAGATTTACCTTTTTATTTCAAAATTCCCAAATTAAAGTTCATTAATTAATTTATTTAAATTTAAAAGATAAAAAAATCAATTTTAATAATTCATTATTTTTCTTATTTTATTATAAATCCAAAATTCGTAAATATATAGACTTATATATATTTTGTTAATTAACCCATGTAATACATGAGTCTTATACTCTAATAAATGAAGATTTTTTTTGCCATATGTCACACTCTCATTTAATTTGGCAAATGCATTTTATGGTTATTTTGAATTAATTTTTTTCCACACGTTATTTTATGAGTTTTTCTATTTTAATAAATTTCACATAATACTTTAATGTAATAATTATAATAAATGTAGTAATAAATGAATATCAATTTCATTAATAGACTTACATTGTTATTTTAAAATTCATAAATTAAATCTCATTAGTTTATTTTATTTATTTATTTAAATTTAAAAGAAAAATCAATTTTAATAATTCATTATTTTTCTTATTTTTCTTATAAATCCAAAGTTCTTAAATATTTAGATTTTTATATGTAATTTTTTTAATTAACCTCTCCCTATATATATATATATATATATATATATATATATATATATATATATATATATATATATTTATACACACACACATTATAATAAATGATTGTTTTTTTTTTTTTTCATTTGCCATACTCTCATTTAATTTGCCAATTGTCATTCGTGGTTATTTCACTAGTATAAAAACGACTTACGGACACACCATAAAAGTTTGACCATATGTATATAGTGACATTTAATTTTTTTCACTGAAAGTGTGACGGAATGTAACGCCATCGTATGAGTCTTATAGTCACTTTAAAATGTAGTGTCAGTATGATATGAAAAAATGTAGTTGTATTATAAAAGTGTGGCTATTGGGTAGGGAATTTTGTTGCTAAAATCAATCATTTTTTGCAATATTGTGGTGTTAAACCGTCAGTAAACACATGTATTTAGTAATTGTAGTGACTGTATATCGCCAACTTACGACATGCATGTTGTTTTAGTATGGTGTTTTACTAATATATTGTCACATAATTTAAAGTTTATTAATACTATTGGTATGTTTTGCAGACATGCAATTACGGTGAACATGATCATGTTCACTAAATGATCACATGTAATTAATTTCATAAGTAACGATTTGCTAATAATTAGTCAGAAAAACAATCTTTTATTGTAACTATTGTTTATTGCATAGAGACACACAATTAAGTAACACATGATCATAAGTATTATAAGAACACACATTTTATTAAAATTATGGATTTAATATTAGCCTACGGTCATATTTGTATTACTTATCATGACCGATACTGTCATTCATACACATTAAATTTTGTAACTATGACAATTTTATATCATTTTGACATATAAATAAGTTTAAAAAATAACCATAATTGATTTATAGACATAATAACGTTTGTACTTGTGACCAATATTCAATTTATTACCATAGAAATTGCTTATTAGTATGACCTATTCTATCGTTTAGAAACACAAACATTGTAAAGGGTGACTATTGTTTATACTATGATCATAGACAATTATTTAAATTGTAGCCAAAAGTATTTTAAAGACACAATTTTTCTAACTATGGTCATCATATATCAACAATGTGAAAAGATAAAAGGATATTGGTATTAATAATAAATCGAATGAAAATAATCCATACATAAGTTCCCTAAATAAATAGTGAAAATTCACTGTTATTAAAACAAATTTGAATTAATTTTTATTCCATTTGTCATTTTATAGTTTTTCTTTTGTATTAATTCCACATAGTATTTATATGCAATAATAAATGCATATTACTTTCCTTAATGAACTTTCATTTTAATTTCAAAATTACTAAATTAAACCTTCATTAATTTCCTTTTTTATTTATCTAAATTATTTGTTTAGATTTAGAGAAAAAAAAAACACTTTAATTTATATAGTTCAATATTTTTCTCATTTTTCTTATAAATTCAAACTTCTCAAATGTTTAGAATTTTATATTTAATTTTTTCTTTTAAATAAACCAATGTAATACATAGTCTCATATCTAGTGTGTGTGTGTGTGTATATATATATATAAAGAGAGAGAGAGAGAGAGAGTTAGGTTCTAATGAAAACAAATATATTTTTTAAGAACTTGAGAACAAATCTTAGCCATTAATCATTTAAAGAAAAGCCATGCTCTATTTTTATTAGTTATGGGTATTTTTGTCAATTGCGTTTTTATATACAAAATCATATCAGCGTTTCATATATTTTATCCTTTATCATCGTATTTCCTCCTCTATCGTTCTACTTTCTATATTTTAAGTTGATTGCTTTTAATTTTAAATGCCAAGATTCATATCCTGGTCTTTCATATAGTTGTCAGAGGCTACCACCTGGTCTTTCATACATATGCCAAGGTCTACATTCCGGGTCTCCATGCAAGCATCGCAAAGACATCTATCATCCTATATAGTATAATGAGAAAACTCACATCAATCCACTGACAAATAATCATATACACACGAGCTATTGGAACTAGAACTCCTCACACTATGCATAGCCAAAACCAAACCTTAATTAACAATTAAGGTCACAATTCATGATTAAAGGTCCAAGTCATAATCTCTTTCTTACTAAGGGTAAAAGACCATTTATCATTCCCTACTTGGCCCAAACAAACCATGACCCGAACCATAATGACCCACGAACCAAAATGGCCTAATATAGAACCCTGGCGAGTACACCTCGCGTACCTCCCCAGTACACACGACATATTGCCCTCCTGACCAATCTCAACTTAATGCTCTTAATGCATTAAGACCAAGTCATCTAATTTCCAGATCTAACTCTAAGAGGATGACTTAAGTCATAAAATTCCTGACTTTATGACTTTGCATGGCTTAATAGAGCCCAACACTAAACTTAGGTTTTCTAACCCATCAAAATGTCAAATAACTTACATAAAAGTGCTTAATTCCTTAAGACTTTATATCCAAAGCTTAGATCTAATTCCAGTGGGTGTCTTAATCAATAAAGTCATCAACTTGATGCCTTTGCATGGCTATAAGAAACCCAAAAAACAAATCTAGCTTACTAATTTCACCAAAAGATCACCAACTCATACATGGTTGGTCCACAACATTAAGATGCAAACTTTATGAATAAAGGACCTCAAAGACATAAAAAAAGGAGAGCCTAAAACTTTTGGAGTAACATTTACTCACAATAACCAACTCATGGGACCAAATATGCTCATATCATCACCCAAAACTAGATATACATTAAAGTGCCATAAAGTTTGAAGCTTTATACCTCTAGAAGATAGATTAAAATGAACAAGGTTTGGATCTACAAGCTCCAAGTCAACAAACACTTCTCTAATGAGCTTCTTCTTCTTTTCCAACATGCACCAAGAATACTCCAAAACACTCTAAGAGCTCAAGAATCTCATAGATGGGGCTAGGGTTTGATATTACATGTTGAGGGGGATTAAGGCTGAATATGGGAAGGGTTCCAAGAGTTAATGATGCTTGAATACGATCCAAACCCAAAAAATTAGGGTTTTTCTCCTGATAACATACGCCCAACATACCTGTTAGTACGCCCAATGTACTAGAGTGATCCCACGTCCTCAGTACGCCCAATGTACTCCCATACTCTTACAACTTAACTTCAAACATCCATAATTATGTCGTTTCAACTCCGTTTTCGATGTTTTTTATATCCACGAAAAGGTCTTAAAGAGCTCTACACTTCTATCTTGTTACTTTTGGCTTACCCCAAGTCGAACTTAAAATCATCATCCTTGTAAGCAGTCTAACACCTAATTCTTCCCGAGTTCACCCTTGGTTCCAAACATGATTCAAGGGACTCAATCCAATTACTAACCTTAACATCCTTCAATAAGGCCCCAAACCATACTTCCTTAGAACCCCAAGGCCTACAGACAATCAAATTACGACCCACGATCCTGAATCACAGAACGGTGTGAAAACAGGGTGTTACAGTTCCACCCCCCAAACATGTTGTAGATTAGACTCGTAAGGGGTTTAGTGCAGCCACAAGTAGTCTTCTTTCACCCAATCATGTTGTGATGGGTTTGTTATCTGATAAGGAAGCAACTAGTCACTGAGTTTCTGATAAGAATGAAAGATGATGATAACCAGACCCCTACATCTGCCGCATGCTGGTGTATTTATGTAAATTACAAAAACAATGTTAAGTGAAAAGAGTGTTGACTTTGTCCCATAAATGGGAAACATGCACACAATGAGAAGTAGTTTTAATTTTCACATTTTTCTTCTTTCTTGTACTCCTATATACCTTCTCTCAAATAAAGGAACCAAAAATATGTATTCCCATTTCTCTTTATTTCCCTTCTACAAATACATATACATGCAATGGAGCTCGTATAAAAAAAGAACCCCTTGTTATAATAAGGTCATTTGGATGCCATTAGACTTGCTACAAGTTTTAAAGATTCTTGTTCGTAGTCAGGAATCGTGCTCTTACGGAACAGAGGAACGACACCAGTAGTACTACCTTAGCCTCATGATATATATTATGATTGTTGTTTGAGCATTGAGATATAAAATATGGTTAGAAGGTAAGAGGTCTTTAAAGAATATTTTTCAAAATTTTCTTTAAAAAATTAGAGTTCATATACAATCAAAAACTGACCAATGGGATTAAAAGTAGCTGTTGGTTCGGAGACTCAACCGACATGAACCTAAACTTAAGATCTGTAAAGACCAATTAGGTAGTTGAAAGTGAAGATCAACCTAAGACAGACAATTTACATGGACCTTGACATATCCGGTCCGGTTTGGGTCTATTTTTCGAGACAGGTCAAACCAGTTTAGGTATTCGCCGTGTCTGAACCTACATTAGAGGCCCAACTTTATTCGGCCCAAGTACAATATAACCCATCTAACCCGGGTAGGGCTCCAGGCCTCCAAAGTCCAACCTCCAAGCTTTCTCCCGATTCACATAATCTACCATCTTGCCGGACCACTCACCAGAAACAGCTACGTCAACTACGTCCTCATTTCGACTCATGTCATTTGCTCTGGTCGGCAACCGGTGAATTCTTCGCTGTCGTCGGTGTTCAATTTGTACGAAATTCCCACTATATACCAGTTTAATATCTTGGGTAATATTTTCAAGCATGGAAATTTGTGTTCGGGATTGAAATGTAAAACATCAAAATTCAGATTGGTTCTTTCTTCAATTTTAATTGCAAAATCACAGAATTGGAGTTACAAAACATACCCTAATGTGTCCCACAACCAAAAACACCATCCGTCAAAGTGATGAGATAAATAAAGATAATGAATATCTCCCGTAAAATTAAATCCGGACATGTTTAATTTGTGTAGGGTTTTCTTTGAATCTTTCTTTTTTCTTGGAGAAGCATGTATCCTTCAAGAGGAAATAACGCGTATGGGCAGCAACAGCAACAGCAACAGCAACAGCAACAGCAGCAATCCTTCTCTGGTCAATCTGCTTATGGTCAAAATGTAAGCTTTGCGATTGAAGGCTTATTTGTAATTATTTCCATATCAATCTTTCATTGGTGAAACATGTAACTTTTGCCCTTAACCTCGATTTATGTTTCTGACTTCTTGATTTGATTTGGGTGAAGTTGGCTCCTGATGGCGGGGCCTCTCAGATGTCTATGGCTTCAAGGCATTCAGCCATGTTAAGTGGCCATCCATCATCTACTGGAACTCATTATGGTGGTCAATATGCTTCCGTGTATGGTGGTTCAGTGGCAATCAGTAGTAGTGCCCTAGAGGTCAGTGAACTTTTAATTTGGGAATTAGTTTTCTTTTCATGGGTTACAGATAATAAAGATTCTGATAAATCTCTATAGCATGTAAAGTATAAACTTTGTAGTCACTTCTGCAGGCATCTGGTGCTAATGCTAGTGGAGCATCTGGTGACTACTCTGTTCTTAGTCAAAAATATGGTCAAAAAGAGATTCCTGGTTATTCACCAGGGGATAGATCCCGGGCAGGTGTTTATCCTGCCCGAGATTTGCAAAATGAGCCTACTGCTCGGTTTGGTGATTCAGTTGCTTATGGTCATCATCAAAATCAGGTTTTGTATCATACTTATATATGTTGGTGGTTATTATATGTTTTAAATTTTCCCTTGATGACATTTAGGGTTTCATCATGTCTAATTGTTTTTGGAATAGGGGGACATATACAGTCACTTGGATGCTGCATCAGCACTACGGAAGGAATTGCTACAGACTCAGACACTTCAATCTTCTTCTATTGAAGGGAGTTCCAGGTAACCTACTTCATAATATATATATATATATATATATATATATATATATATATATATATATATATATATATATATATATATATGCAGATTTATGTCTTTTAGGTGCTGTTTCTTTTCGACTTTATGGACTTAATGGAGACAAGACTTAATATCGAGAAATATGTAATAGTGTTTCTTTTTGACTTAATATAAACATATGGGCTTAATTGGTTAAATGAGTGTAGGGTGTCTTTATCCATTAGGATTTAGGACCTCATATTTATGCTGCTACCCTCTAACCAAACTCTCCTCTAATAATTTTAGTTCTTTTAAAATCCATTCATCTTCTTAGTTCTTCCCAAGAATCGACCAATTCTCTCTCCAGGGTCCATTTCTCGCCTTCTTCCCTTTTATCACTTTTTAAAAGCCTATTTCTTTTTTTATTTCTTCTTCAAGAATCTTTTTTATTGCTATTAAAACCTATTCAAACCCACAATATTTTGGATTTAACTTTTGTATTTCAACTTATTTGTGTTTAAGTTAAGTTATTATTGATTAATAATGTCAATTTATATAGTTTCTTATCGTGGTCAACCTATAATGATTTTCAAATAAACAGTGAACATCACTTGTAGACAGAAGGGTAAAATGGTCACTTTTTCATATTCAGACTGTTCCTTTCGGTCCAAAAAAGAAACGGTTTTCGTTTATGACAACATTTAATCACTTACTGACTTACTCCAGATGACATCATTATCCATTCAACACTTAATGAAGAAAAAAAAAGAAACAACCCTTTAGTCTAATTGTATATAGTTTCTTGCTTACATTCTCTTTTTGAGATTTCATACCATCTATGTCCCTCTTATGTTCTACTTACCAATGAATGAGGAGCAAGATATGTATCATACTACTTCCTTACTTAGTCTACATGACAATTGACAACCACTTTCTAGTTTCTAAGTCCCCAAACATTTCTGGCAGACAATCTGATTATCTATCAAGGGCAACTACCATTCGTCACACAGGTCAAGAACTTTCGTCTTATACTGGAAGAATGGATGACATGTCACATCATGGACAACAACATGCTCCATCAATCCTAGGAGCAGCTCCACCACGAGACATTGACAATCATGTGTATACTCATACATCTGCTTCTGCAACTTCTGGTTATGGAGTCAGCCTGCCACCTGGCAGGGACTACGGCTCTGCAAAGGGTCTTCATAGCACACCTCAAGCTGCCATGGTGGCACGTGGTGGTTATGCAAGGGTTGATGACAGGGCACAAGGACAAGGACAAGGACAAGGACAAGGACACAGTCGTGAAATTAACCGAAGAGCTGAAGATCTTCATAGGGATGTTTTAAGAGATAGAGAAAGAAAGAGGGAACGTGAACGTGTTTTGGAGAGGCGTGAAAAGGAGAGAGATAGGGAGAATAAACGTGTTATTGAAAAAAAGAGAGAGCGGACTCCACCTCGTGTTGAAGCTTCTTCTTCTTCTTTGCATAGGTGGATGATTGTTGCTTAAAATATAGTTCTCATACGATCTTTTGCAGCCTTCATGACTAACTTGTGTTGTGTTAATCTTGTTATATATGGTGAAGGCGTCGTTCTCCTGCTAAAGAAAAACGAAGAGATTATGTTTGCAAGGTAAAAAAAAAAGGCACATATTAGCTCTTCATCTGTTGTCAAGTTTCCTTTTTCTTCTTGTTCTTGGGTTGTAGGTGGTGAGTTGACTGAATTCTGTATAGCAATCTTCCCCAATTCTGTTCAATTTGGAGTTTTGTACTGAAAAGTACTGTTTTTTTTTGCACCTATCACTCTCATATTGCTATACTTCAAATCCCTTCTCTCTCTTGATTGGCAATGCACTTCTTGGCATTCACTGTTTGTGCTTTCCTTTCAATATTTACCTTCTTACTCTTAGCCCTTCTTTACTTTCAACTTATATTGCTAGCATCTGCTTTCTTCTTCATTGCCCTCTTCCTCCTCCCTTTGTTGCTATTCATTATTGTGGGCTTGTGTTTCATATGTTGGAGGTCATTTATGGAAACAAACAACCTTTCTACCCTTCATTCCATTCATTAGAGACTTGAATTTTTTTGTTGTTCTTGGCATATTCTTTTGACATTCATCTGTCATCAGAATACCCTCTATTCATTTTGGTATTTAATGGGGTCTTCTATACGTGCTGTTGGACCCTTGTTGGCTTCTAGATCATTGGATTATACTGATTAAAGATCGTTTTGGGTGAACTTATTCAAGATTGCTGTTGCGTTCTAATTATCGTTGGGTTCATCTTTCTTGATTGATAAGGACTTGAGCTCTAATGAGATGTGTTTATCGATTGAAAATATCGCTGAGACATATGGCTAAATTGTCAATGCATTGAAAGAAGGAAGATAAGAAGACACTTGAATGTTTGCTTCTTGACTTGTTGTTACTTGTTTGTATTCCTGATAGGTTCAACTACCATTTTGCAGGTTAATTCATCCAGTTTAGTAGATTTTGAGAGAGACTATTTGTCTATTGACAAGCGGTATCCTAGGTTATTTACTTCTCCAGAATGTTCCAAGGTTAATTTTATTTTATACTTTTTTGCATCAACTACTCCTTGTTCTTTTTAGTTGACACTAACTTGAGTTCTAAATTGCTACAGGTGATTGTTAATTGGTCAAGGGAGAATCTTAAAATTCCTTTGAATGTTCCTGTCAGGTATGTTGCATGTTCTTTTCTTATATCGTTTCTCTGATTTGGAATTTGGATGTATTTTGTTATGCATTCTATAAAGAATAAAGATCACCCAAAAATATCAACAAATTGTTGTTTCTGTTAAAACAGTTTTGAGCATGATTTTGTTAAAGATGATACAGAAACTCAGCAGAAAGAGACATCCATTACAACAATGGTTGATGATCCTGTAAAATCAGAGCACACCCGGTGGAATGCAAAGGCATATTATATATATTTTCTCTCAGAGATTTCTGACTTGAGTTAATTTCTGATACTAAAAATGTAAAATTTCTTTTGCTTATATTGTTCAGATTGTATTAATGAGTGGACTCAGTCAAAATGCTTTGGAGGAGCTATCATCTGAAAGAGAATATGAAGATCGAATTCCCCATTTTTGCAACATGATTAGGTTTGCTTGTCTTAAAAGTGGGAATACTTTCAAGGCAATTGGAGGCTTTTGGGAAACCACAGATGGCAATGATCCTTCAGTTGACAAATCCACTCTTGTTCATACTGCTCTCAGGTTTGTTTATGCATGATAAATTTTACATTTCCCCCCCTACAGATTTCTAATATATACTGTGTAGGTATGCCAAAGACCTCACAGGACTTGATTTGAAAAACTGCCAACATTGGAATCCTTTCCTTGAGGTAATCCATTATTATTTTGAAAGTTTATCTAATTAATTAAACTTTCTTGTTATCTAATCATTTGATTATGTTCATTTTTGCAGATTCATTATGACCGAGTTAAAAAAGATGGAATATTTAGCCATAAGGAGGTCACAGTACTCTATGTTCCTGATTTATCAGATTGTTTACCTTCAGCAGATGCATGGAGGGATCAATGGGTTTCACACAAGAAAGCTATTGCTGAGAGAGAGCATCAACATGCTCTTAAAAGAGAGGTAGACTATTACTGCTTCATATTTTACATATATATTTAAAAATAAATTAAAAAAAGGACAGATGATACTAATATATTGTTACAATCTATTGAAACTAAAAGTTGTTTCTTCATCATATGTTTTGGTTTATATAGATTGCTCGAGGAAAGAAGGAAGGCTTGAAAGGTAACTAACTTATTGATATTATCATACCTGAAAGTTATTTATTTTTATAAAAATGTTGTAAGTTTACCTTTTTATAACTCTGTTGATTCTGCTTAGATAAGGAACCTGGGACACCCAAAGATCTGAAGAAGGATGCAAAATTAGAAAAAAAGAAAGTGTCTGAATCTGATGAGTCAGCATCAAAACTTAAAGAAATGGCAAAAGATAAAGTCAAAGAACCTGAAAATGAGGGAGTTCATATCAATATAGAGAAGAAAAATGTGGTTGAGACACCTGGCGAAGGGAATAACTCTGTAGAAAAGAAAACTGGTAGTGGAAAAAAGAAAATCATTAGAAAAGTTATAAAAAAGAAGGTTGTTAAAAAAGATAAAGCAGGAGACACAACCAAACAAACTGATACATTATTAGATTCCAAGAAAGCGGGAGAGACTACTACAGAGACAGAAGCTGCAGGTCAAAGTCAAAGTCAAAGTCAAGGTCAAGGTCAAGAGTCAACTGGTAATACTCCTGCTGTGAATACTCCTACAAAAAAGAAAGTTATAAAAAAGGTTCCTGTGGTGAAATCTGTTAAGAAAGAAGATGTAGGGACACAATCTGAAGTGACACCTGTCAAAGAGAAAGAGAGCTCTGAAATCAAACCAAAGAGTGCAGATACAGGAAGTCTTAAAAATGTGAAAAAAACTGTAAAAAAGAAAATAATAAAAAGGGTTGTGAAAAAAAAGGTTGTTGCTAAAGATAAAGTGGCAGATAAACCAGAAGTAACTATTGAGGAGGAACAAAGTGTTGCCCCTGAGCAGAAAAAAGATGAAACTGAAAACAAGGGTGAAAAGAAAGGTAAAATGGGTTCCAAAACGAAGGGTATTATCGTCCAGTCTGACAATAATGAAAAGCTGGAAACTGAGGAGAAGTTGAAGGAGGGGAAAGTGAAAAAAGAGAAGGATGTTAAAGGTGAAACAAAGGGTAAAGAAGTAAAAGATAGTAAAAAGGATGATGAGGTTCCTAGACACCCTGGGTTGTTTCTCCAAACAAAAGAGAGCAATAAAGTATGTGATTTTAATTTTTAACTTATGTATTATTTCCATTTTGAAAATTAGGGCAAATTGCAATGAATAATGTATTTTACATTTTTACCCTTTCTGTCACAGTTTCGTTCATCTTCACTTTCACTGGATTCCCTCTTGGATTATGATGATAATGATGTTGAAGAATCAACATTTGAGGTGAGTAACTCGGCTTTATACAGTTGTTATTTATTTTGTGAATGATTATCGTATTAAATTCTTTATACTTAAAGTAAAATAATTATTTGATTACACTCTTGATTTACATTTGCAGTTGTCGTTATTTGCTGAAACATTTTATGAAATGCTTCAGTATCAAATGGGTTCCAGGATTTTAGCATTTCTCCAGGTTTTGGTTAAAACAATAACAGTTAATGATGGACTATTTTTATTCCCATTTTTTTTATTTCTTGTATTGTTTTTTGTATTACAGAAGTTGCGTATCAAATTTGTGGCTAAAAGAAACCAGAAAAAGAGACAGTTGGAAGAAGTTTCTGAGAAGGAAAAAGTGAAAACATCAAAGCGTTTGAAAAGTGATGATTCTGAAGTAAAAATCAAATCAGTTGAAAATGAAGTTTTAGAAAACGATGAAAAGAATATTCCAAAAGTGGAAAACATGGTTACTGAAAACACAGAGAATACAAAATCAGATGAAGATCTTGAAGAAGATGAAGATATGACAGATGCAAGTTCCAGAGATAACACAAGGAATGAGAAAACTGACATAGATTTGAAGTCCAAAAACATAGTAAAGAATGAAGAAGAGGAAGAGGAAAAGGTGGATTTAAAAAAGAAAGAAATAATCGACAAGGAGCTTTTACAGGCATGTTTTTTTTAAAAAAAAAAAAAAAATCTCATTGTTGTAATGTTTTCTTGAATTAATTCTCATTCTTATTTTTTAATTTGAAACAGGCTTTTAGGTTTTTTGACCGAAATCGAGTTGGTCACATTAGGGTAAATTTGCTAATTAATAATATTTCAGTTCCATTATTGTCATGTTTAAAGGAAGTAAGAAATTAAATATTGAATTTGTTTGTCTTTAGGTTGAAGATATGCGGTTGATCATACATAATTTGGGGAATTTCTTGTCTCATAGAGAAGTCAAGGTAATATATACACAATCCATCATAATCCAGTAGAAAGCTGTTTAAGAAAAAGGAGAATATTTATAAACAGAATCACAAAAAAGACCAAAATCGAACAAAATGACTTTGTTTTTTCTTTACTTTTTACACAAATGTTTTATCCCTGACTTGTATTCATGTGTTAGGAACTTGTACAAAGTGCATTGCTAGAAAGCAACACTGGGAGGGACGATAGAATTCTGTACAATAAGCTGGTGAAAATGACTGACATTTGAAGTGATAGATTGATGCTTTTTTTTTTTTTTGGTGACATTTTTGCACTCTTGTGTAATTGGAAGGCATTTGCTTTTGGATGTATGTATGATGTTTTGTAGACATGTAACATATACCCAATTGATATGCGAAACTTGCTAGTGTTATTGATCAAGTTAATAATACATAAGAGTTTTATATAATTATACACTCAGGAGTTTTGAGTTGCTTTAATTTGGTTTTGTTTGCTGTCTAGAATGAAGCCTCAAACTCCCTCTTTTGTGGTTAGGAGAGTTTCAGTCTTTGTTCATGGTGTTTGTTAGATGCTAATGTTATAAATTTTTACTTCTACACAAGTTGATTAATCAAAATCAAAGCTATTGACGTGTCAATAGTTTTGCAAAACAGAAGTTTTAAATGTGCAAAAGATCAATATTTGGTAGCAAACGCCTTTCCTTCAAGATGTAGATCTTTTACAAGGCACTTTATTTATTTTGTGCAAACCAATTGTTTTGTGGGATGTCACTTCTTTAGGGTTGGGTCCAGGAGATGATTCTCGTATGATATCTTATTATCTCATACCAACAGGTTGCACCTTCCTATCAATGAACGTAAAAGTATGTTGCAATTGTAGTTTTATATGTAAAATTGTCACCATATATTTATATAGAAATTATGAGTTGTTTGTTTTATAGACTTTTATGAATTTATATTTATATATTTATTTGAATTTGTAGTTTTTTTTTATATAATTGTGTTTATTAAAGACTCAATTATATTCATTAGATATACACCTAATACCCTACATACCACATCATCAAACTTATAAATAAAGAACGTAAAAAATTGCATACCAAACTTCCTACTTCTCTTATAAACATAAGCTTTTGTTGTTTGGCAAAAATGTCCACAAGTTCAATCGCCTTTCTACGTCTAGTGATAAATGAGTTGAAGTAAGATGTAATGACCAAAGGAGAAAAAATTGAGAAACACATTTCTAATAATCGAGCAACAAGGCATGCGATTGACACAACATAATATGAAATTGAAAAAAAAAGGAGAAATAGATGTGAGGAGTTATATAGAATCTCAAATCGACGAAATGGAGAACCCGGATAAAAGACAAAGAAAACAAATTATAAAAACTAAACAATGGATACGGAAGGCTGAAATATCTGTTTCAAAGAATTAGTGTGATATAAGGGTTAATGTGAAGAGATGAATGATAAAATAACATGAGTTGAGAGATAGAAAAAAAATCATTAATGTATTTTGTAGAATGATAGATTATAGATGATTAGTATTATTGTTGAGGTAAAAGACAAACATTTGTTTATAGTATGACTTATCTAGAACATTCTATGATCATTGGACCCTCTCTTATGATGAAATACATTTAGGGCTTTTGGGTCTTCCACGGTGACATTGGTCCAATATTATTGGTGCTTTAACAATCTATCATACCATTGGTTTCTCATGTTTAAAAGGGACATGAAGAGGCTTCATTAACTCCTCATATGTTTGACAACAACAATCTACATGATATATTGTGATAGCAATGTCGGAACAATCATCACGTCTTAAATATTTTAAGAGGCTTACGACATGGCTACACGATAAGCAATTTTTTTTTTCCATTTTAGACATGTACAAATTCTTTCATTGAAATAAAAAATGTAGTTTTTTTGAAAGACTAGGACCTCAAATCTTGAATTTGAACAGGCAAACCGTATAGTTAGTACTTTTATTTTCTCTTATGCAACCTTCTTATCCACACATATGTTAAGTCTAGTTATCTCTTCTGCTACATAAAGTGTCAAATAACACTCTTAAGTTCAATGTATATTAAGAGAAAGAACTAACTAAACATTTTCAATGCGTGTTACATATACATGCTTTGTTCCGACTTTGAAAATACCATTGTTGCGTTGTCGTGCAAAAGAACTTTAAGAACATCTAACACGTTGACGAACTTTGTATTGATTGATACTAAGATCATAGAAATATTCCCACATTTTTTTGGACATGCACCTTGTAACTATTCCCATTTTTTCTTGCATTTCTAAATAATTGTCAAAACCTGTAACTTTCTGGAACAACATTTTTGTGTTCATAATTTTCATGTAATGAGCTTGCACGTTTGATAAAAGATGATGTCAAACATCATGATACGAATTCGGGAATATAGTTATATAGGACATGATAATCGCTTCCCTCTATCAGTCGATAATGTTAAATGTTTCGAGTCGTGGATGCAATCACGTAGTTTCTTTTAGGAACATGGTCACTTATCTGTACACTTATTTTTTGCTTATCCCATATGCAACATGCAAAATTTGGTTGTTAACGTCTATCACAACCACCAATAACATGGTGCCTTTGAAGTAACCTATTAGGCGGGCCACGTCTATCCCTAGCGCATGCCTACAACATCTGAGGAGGACATGTAACTACAAAACTATTAATATAAATTAACAAAGGATGTGGAAATATAATATATAAACATATAAAATCATAAAAATAAATATTACTAGGCAACTATCGAGAGGAACAAGAACTGTCGTGATAATCCGTTTGAATTTATGTCACTGTTTTTGGATTATACGATGTATATATATGGGTAAAGTGAATATACCTAACAACCTTATATAAGCTTAGGTACCTAACCACATTATACTACATTGTTTTGCATTATATTTCCATTGCAATCGTCTAAGGTTCTTAAACTTCAACCCTTAACTTGATTTACTTCCAATATTTTCAGACATTCACCATTATATTCCTCATACACCATTTGATTTGTAACGGTAGTATATGAAGCCCACCAGGGGGTCTCCGATAGAAAGACGTCATTTGAAGGAAGATAATGGTGAAAGTCCAAAGATTTTGGAATCAATCAAGTTATGAGGTTGAATTTTAAGAACTTTGAGTGATTACAATGCAAATATGATACAAAATTACATAGTATAATGTGGTTAGGTACCTAAGCTTATATAAGGTTGTTAGGTATATTCACTTTACCCTATATATATATATATATATATATATATATATATATATATATATATATATATATATATATATATATATATATATATAAGTAGAAAACTTTAACTTTATAACTTATCATTTATGTAACTATTAATGAATAATAATTAGGAACATAAAAATCCGAAAATACATATTTGGTTATTATCATAAAAAACTTTATATATTGTGACTTTTCTAGATTAAACTTTAACTGTATTTTTTCTTAAAAAAAATTATATTTTTTCATTTTCTCAAAAAATCTTCATTTTTTTCTCGTGAAAATGACATAAATCTTTTATTTTATTTTTTTGAAAAAAATCCTCATATTTGATAAATTTTTTGAAAAAATATACTAAATGTGTCAAATCGAAAAATGGAATACACAAGGTCTTTTTTTAGAAAAAAATAAAGTTGAGATTTGATCTCGAAACAAACACAATATATAATGTTTTTTATGTATTAACTCAACAAAACATATAACTTTTAATAAGATCACCTATTGACGAGATACAAGTTGAGAAGTAATGTTTGAACATGGAGATTGTGGTCGGCGGTGCACGTATAAAAAATGATTGAAGTTTATGTTTTCAATGATATATAAGGCGTGTTGCTAAAACAAACACCTCTTATTAAAAGTCAAACCTCATTCTTTTATTTTAATTAGGGTTATGGTATGAGGCGTTTTCAGAGAGTGGAGACTGCCAAATGAGGCAACCCTAGAAGTTAGAGTCTTTAAATTGGTCCCAAGGTGTAACATTTCATTCAGGTATTTCACTTTTAGCCCTTCATTTGAAAATTTCTTACATTTTGGTCCTTAGCCGAGTACGTTGGGCGTACTCTATGAGTATGTTGGGTATACTGGCTCGATGGCTTGGATGCGAAGGCACCCACGTACGCTGGGCGTATGCTCAATAGTGGAAAACCCTAATTTTTAGGGTTTGTGCTCTATTTAAACACCTTATGTTGCTTTGGGAGTTTCTTATGACTAGCCTCCACCTATCCAAACCCTGATAACGAAATCCTAGCTTCCATTTGAGTGTTTGTGAGCCATTGTTATGATCTTGTGGTGTTTTTGGTTACTTTGAAGGAGGTGAAGCTTGCTTGGTGGAATTGGAGATTGAAGATCCAGAATCTTCATCAACTTTTCAAGCTTTCTGAGGTATAAAGCTTTTACCTTGATAAATCCAATTGCAAGATTGAGTTTAGGGCTTGGTTTTGACATGTTTTGGCCCCATAAGTCCTCCTTTTGAGTATGAGTCACTCCAAGAGCTGGAAATGCTAGATCTTAGCCTCTTTAGTGTTCCTTATGCATAAAAATTCTACCTTAATGTCTTATTTTGGACCATGCATGAATTGGGACTCTTATTATGAGTCTTAATGGTAAAAAACGAGTATTGGGTCCTTTTGAGCCATGTAAAGGCTCCAAGTTAAGAGCTTTATGGATTAAGAAGTTCCTCTAGACTTGGATCTGTAATTTGGGTGTTGGAATACAAGTATTAAGCACTTAAGAAAAAAAATGCTTAATATATGTGTACGGTGGGCTTACGCAAGAGTACGCTGCGCGTACATGCCTTTGTCCGTGATCATACATGCAACTTAGTATGCAGGGCGTATGTGTCGTACGCACAACGTACCAGGCCTAGTCTTGGGCTTTTGCGAATTTGGGCTATATATGGACTATTGGGGTTTTGGGCCTTGTTGGGCCATTAACCTTTCTGAATTTGGACCACTGCTAGGATTTGGGCCAATATTGTGCTTTGGGTATCATTTAGGGATTGGGGCCGCATTGGGCTTTCTGGTGCCATTGGGTTGGGTCTCGGATATTGGGCCAACTAAGGAAATGGTAAAATGATGTTTTACCCTGGGTGTTAGACAAATGAACTAGGATCCCAATTATGATTTGTGGCCTAATTATTAATTGGGTATTATTTGGTGATGTTTAGTACAGAGCTTTCCCGGATTAGTAGCCCGAGCTTTTATCTGATTTATTCAGCAGTTTGAGGTGAGCCTCCTCACTGTTCTTGGCAGGTCGAAGGCATTGATGCCAACCTGTGATTTATTATGATTAGGATTC